GGACATTTTAGATCCTGATAAATGGGATCAGTTTACTTCCACGCTTGCGCAACGAGAGATGGGGGAACAAAAAGCGGCAGAGCTAAAAATCTGGGGGTTAATTCTTGGGGTTCTTAAAGCCCCTAGTCAGGAAGGTAAAACCACACAGGCTGCGCATGCTATGATGGGGTTTGGATCCACTAACACCGTGAGAAATGGTAAAAGCGTATTTTCTTGCAGATCCCCTGAGAAAGAGAGCACCGCAAATATGTCTCCAACTATGGCGCCTAACCCCTCGGCTCCTGTCTCACCCTCGCCTTCGGACCCCCCTTCGGCTCCCGCCTCGGCTCCAGCTTCAGATAAACAACCAGAGGACAGCACTGAATTGCCTGCGCCTTTATCGTTCAACACCGCTGAAGTGCAGGAACTCAAGGTCGTTGAAGCCCCTCCACCGTATCCACGACAACCGCTGTATCCTTCTGTGTGTAATCTAACATCACCTGCGGGGGCAGAGAACAGTACGCCTGTCTCCCATCCGAAGGAGATGGAACGCAAACCCCAGGGGGGCGGGAGCTACGGGAAAGGTCTGGGTACAGATTGGTCAAAAGTTAGAGAGGAGATGGAAGACAGAGGCTTAGACATATCTGCATTTGCAGTAGTAGCTGGGGAAGAGGGACCCACATGGATTCCCCTCGACCCAAAAGGAGTGGCCCGGCTAGTGGAGGCTGTTGAGAAAAAAGGTTTGAGGTCACCATTAACACTGAATACATTAGAAGCCCTTACAGCCCCAGGGCCTTTGCTACCCTATGATATAGAGAGCCTTATGCGCATTGTGCTTAAGCCAGTGCAATTTAAAGTTTGGAAGGAGGAATGGACTAAACAACTGAAAACAATAGTAGCAGCAGCCGAGAACGACCCTAGACATCCCGTTCACGTTCACGGCACGAATTCGCAAAGACTGACAGGTACGGCTGCTGGAATGCTTACCCCCCACGGTCAAGTTGCGCACTTACTCCCAGGGGAGTTGATTGCTTGTCATGGTTTTATGATTTTTGGTCATCAGTATTCCACACCATAACATCATGTAATGCACTGGGGGTGGGGTTTGATATCTGTCGAATGTTCGTCCCTCGGAGAAGAACTACATTTCCCCAGGAGACTTTGCGGTCAGCAAGGGGATATAACTCCAAGCAAGGTCACCTGATGCTTCTTCTTCGCCTGCTCTTCGCTGTCTGCGCTTCGCTATCTGCGCTTCGCCACCTGCGCTTCGCCGCCTGCGCTTCGCCATCTGCACTTCGCCGTCTGTACTTCAGTCACTCAACTGGACTGCACTTCTCACCCCAGCATTGTGGTGAGGTCTATACAATTCAATGTCAACGGTTTACGGGCTGGTTCGGCCCGGTTCCGTGACGAGCGGGGCGGAGGGATCCGCAGATCCACGCCTCCGGAAAAAAGGAAACAGGGGACCCCAAAATAATTAAAACAATGGCAACGATCTGAGGAGAAACAAACTAATTTACTAAGTATATTATTGGAATGCAAGATAACACACTATAATACAATATAATCAGAATTGAAGCTAATAAATCAAATATAATGAGAGAGAGAATGTCCGAAAGGTGGATAGGCCTCTCCACAACGCTGAGGTGAGATGCGCAGTCCAGCTGAGCTGCAGGGAGACGGGAGCAGTGTCCACGACGAAGGGCAGATGAAAAAAGAGCGCATCAGGTGACCTTGCCAGGAGTTAAACCTCCTCTCCCTGACCGCAAAGTCCCCTGGGGAATGTAGTTCTTCTTCTCTTCAGGGCAGGTACCCAGGACTTGAGCATTGACAGTTAAAGTCCCAGTGCCCCACATGATGTTATGATGTGGAATACTGAAAGCCAAAAATCACAAAACCATGACACTCTCTCTCTCTCTCATTGTATTTTACTAATACTATATTGAGTAAAATCATTTGTTCCACCTCAGATCAGTGCTGTTGTTTTCAAGTATTTTGGGGTCCCCTGCTTCCCCTTTCCCAGAGGCTCGGATCCGCAGATTCCTCCGCCCTGCTGGTCACGGAACTGGGCCAGACCAGCCCATAAACCGTTGACATTTTTGGTGGAGAATGCGGGCTGCAGTTGCTTTCTAGCTGTTTAGACTCTCTGCTCTCGGAGAGTTCCGTTGGGAAAGCTTATCTGTTTCACCGCTACTCTCTGAAAACGTGACCTTGAAAACTCCAGGCGGACTGCCAGTATCGTAGGATATTTGTAAACCCTGAGCTTTACTATCTTGCCTCTGTAAAAAAAAAAAAAAAAAAAAAAAATGCTTTCTGTAGTGAAACTTACTCTTAAAGGGCTGCATGCTGCTGCCTCTTCTTTCCTAATGCTCAAAACATACTGGGCATTAATTAAGCTTGCCACTTTGCTCTATGGAGCAATCGGCATATACAATCAATTGAAAACATGGGTGGAAATATGGACCTGGCACGTTCGTACAATGTGGCTTACAATTCCGGAGACAGCTGCCAATTTTACAGGACTGGGATTTCTTAAGGTTTCCAGTCTCACCTTTCAGCCTGTAATGCAGTTTTTGAATGAACACCTAGTCGCATTACTAATCTCCCTGAATGTATTGCTCATCATTTCGCTCAGTATTAGTATTTATTATATTTTGAGGATGCCCTCCCCAAAACCAGAGAATACTGAGTGGCAGGGAGTGTGGAGAGGTCTGAGAAAGACTTTAGACAAATGGAAATCTTCAGTCTCATGGAACTTTACTCCAGAACACCTGAAAGACCCTGAGAGTCTAAACAGCTATTTAAGGCAGGAATGTTGCGGCTTGGGCAGTTCTGAGGAGGCACATATGATTTGGGGCCTGGCTAATGCTTATCGGGCCTTATTCAATACTATCCTGGAGAGAGAGAGAGCTTCTGAAATTGAAAGGGAGAGTCTCAGGGAAACAGTTCAAAATGAGCAAGAGAGTCTCCTGCTCCAGAGGAAAAACCTCCGATCTGAGAGAGATGCCCTCCGAATTGAAAGAGACTCCCTGCAATCCAAACTCGACAATCTTCAATCTCAACAACACACCCTCCGATCTGAGCTAGATACTGTCATAATCGAACAAAACAAGCTCCAAGCTGAACTGGAGGATGAGAGCAACCTGATCAACCACAAGAGGCACCACAATCGATGTCAGTTGCCCCTGTAAGAGGACGGAAAACAAAGCGAATCTCGACTCAGTTGGAAGAGAAGAAAGAGGAGGAAAGAGGTCCAGAGGAGTGGCTCCGAGGTCCAAGAGAAGCACCTCTGAGTCCAGGAGAGGGGCCCTCAGTAAGACCACGGTCACCAACACCTACAAGGGCAAGAAGTCCTGGAAGAGCAAGAGGTGAGCAAGATATTGTTACCTTTGTGGATCGATCTCTGAAAATGAATGAAATTTGAAGTCTGAGAAAAGACTTCTCACGCCACCCAAATGAGCCTATTGCTACTTGGTTACTTCGATGCTGGGACAATGGGGCCAACAGTGTGTGGCTAGATAGTAGAGAAGCTCGTCAACTGGGTGGCATTGCTAGGGACTCAGCCATTGACAGAGGCATTGGTACATGCCAGAACCAGGCCTTCACCCTCTGGAAGAGGATGTTGTTAGCTGTAAAAGAAAGATACCCCTTCAAAGACGATCTGATGCCCAAGAAGAAGAAATGGGCTGATATGGAAGAAGGCATCCATTATTTGAGACAATGAGCTGTGGTGGAAACACTACATAGCCCCGATTTCATTCCTGATGAGCCAGACCAAGAGCATGATCCTGAGAGAGCCAGGTGTACACCAAATATGTGGCGTACATTCACAAAGACTGCACCAGAAAGGTACGCCAGTACATTTGCAGCAATGTATGGCAGAGGGGAAAGAAGACCCCTTATAAATGAGTTGGTTAATAAACTTCAAGACTTGGAGTTACATTTAAGCCCTCTATGAGCTTGTGTTTCAGCCACTGAAAAAGCAGCTGAAAAGCTGGACAGAATGGAGAACAAACAAGAAGATATAATAGATAAACTATCAATTGTGCCTGATGCCAATGAATACATGGTGGTAACAGATACATCCAATGAGGAAAAGAATTCCCAAAACAGCCTACTTGAGGGGCTAGCCAACTTGATTTCCTCCCAGTCAGTGTCATCCAACGTCTCAGCTATCAAAAGAAGACGTTCTCCTGCTCGAGCAAGTGACAACAGTAAGACCACGTCACGTTTTGCCTTGTGGCATTACCTATGCGACCATGGAGAAGATATGAAGAAGTGGCATAAGCAACCTACTCCAGCACTTCAAGCACGGGTAAAAGAATTACGAGACAAATCAACCACCAAGGTGAACTTCTCCAGAAAGGTGATTGCTCCAGTTGCTGCAGACAACAGAAGTAACAAATAGAGGGGCCCTGCCCCCAGCCAGGGGGGGGAAAGGGATAATAGAGTTTATTGGACTGTGTGGATTAGATGGCCTGGTACATCAGAACCACAGAAATATAAGGCCCTGGTGTACACAGGTGCACAGTGCACTCTAATGCCCTCGAGTCACCAAGGGACAAAATCACTTTATATTCATGGGGTGACAGGAGGTTCCCAAGAGCTGACTATGTTGGAGGCCGAAACCAGCCTCACGGGTAAAGACTGGCAAAAGCACCCTATTGTGACTGGTCCAGGGGCTCCATGTATACTTGGTACTGATTACCTCAGAAGGGGATATTTTAAGGATCCCAAAGGGTATCGATGGGCCTTTGGAATAGCTGCTGTAGACACAGAAGGTGTTAAGCAGTTGTCTGTTTTGCCTGGCCTATCAGAAGATCCGTCTGTTGTGGGGTTGCTACGAGTGGAAGAGCAACAGGTACCGATAGCTACAAAAACGGTGCACAGACGGCAGTACCACACCAACAGGGATTCCTTGCTCCCCATTCACAAGTTAATTCGTCAACTAGAGAGCCAGGGAGTGATCAGCAAAACTCACTCACGTTTTAGCAGTCCCATATGGCCAGTGCGTAAAGCCAGTGGAGAATGGAGGCTGACGGTGGACTACCGTGGCCTGAATAAAGTCACACCCCCACTGAGTGCTGCTGTGCCGGACATGTTAGAACTCCAGTATGAACTGGAGTCAAAAGCAGCTAAGTGGTATGCCACCACTGACATTGCTAACGCCTTTTTCTCCATTCCTTTGGCCAAAGAATCTAGGCCACAGTTTGCTTTCACATGGAGGGGCATTCAGTATACCTGGAACCGTTTGCCCCAGGGGTGGAAACATAGTCCAACCATTTGTCATGGGTTGATCCAAGCTGCACTGGAACAGGGAGGTGCTCCTGAGCACTTACACTACACTGATGACATCATTGTGTGGGGCAACACAGCAAAGGAAGTTTTTGAGAAAGGAGAGCAAATAATCCAGATCCTTCTCCGTGCTGGTTTTGCTATTAAGCGAAGCAAAGTGAAAGGACCTGCCCAGGAAATTCAGTTCCTAGGCATAAAGTGGCAAGATGGCTGTCGTCACATCCCGACAGATGTGATCGACAAAAGCACTGCCATGTCTTCCCCCACTAATAAGAAAGAGACACAATCGTTTCTGGGCATAGTGGGTTTTTGGAGAATGCATGTTCCAAACTACAGCCTCATTGTAAGCCCCCTTTATCAGGTGACACGGAAGAAGAATGATTTTGTGTGGGGTCCTGAGCAGCAGCAGGCTTTTGAGCAGATTAAACAGGAGATAGCCCGTGCCGTGGCCCTGCGGCCAGTACGGACGGGACAGGGCATAAAGAACATCCTCTATACTGCTGCTGGAGAGAACGGTCCCACTTGGAGTTTGTGGCAAAGAGCCTCAGGAGAGACCCGAGGCCAGCCCCTGGGATTCTGGAGTCGAGCCTACAGGGAGTCGGAAGAGGGCTACACTCCAACTGAAAAGGAGATCTTAGCTGCGTATGAGGGGGTTCGGGCTGCTTCCGAAGTAGTCGGTACTGAAACACAGCTCCTTCTGGCACCTCGACTTCCAGTGTTGAACTGGATGTTCAAGGGAAAGGTTCCTTCCACCCATCATGCTACTGATGCCACTTGGAGTAAGTGGATTGCACTGATTACACAACGAGCACGGATGGGGAACCTCAGCTGTCCAGGAGTCCTAGAGGTCATCACGGACTGGCCTGAAGGTAAAAAGTTTGGAACACCACCAGGAGAAGAGGTATCTCGTGCTAAAGAGGCCCCACCATACAATGAACTACCAGAGAATGAAAAGAAATATGCCCTATTCACAGATGGATCGTGTCGTATTGTGGGAAAGCATCGCAGAGGGAAAGCTGCTGTGTGGAGCCCCACACAACAAGTTGCAGAGGCCACAGAAGGGAAAGGAGAATCAAGCCAATTTGCAGAGGTAAAGGCTGTCCAACTGGCCTTAGATGTTGCTGAACGGGAGAGGTGGCCAATGCTCTATCTTTACACTGATTCATGGATGGTAGCAAATGCCTTATGGGGGTGGTTACAGCAGTGGGAGCAAAAAAATTGGCAAAGAAAGGGCAAGCCTATTTGGGCTGCTGACCTACGGAAAGATATTGCTACCCGAACAAAAAATATGGTTATAAAGGTGCGTCATGTAGATGCTCATGTGCCCAAGAGTAGAGCTACAGAAGATCAGCGAAATAACCATCAGGTAGACCAAGCTGCCAGAATTGAGGTGGCTCAAATAGACCTGAACTGGCAGAACAAGGGTGAGTTATTTCTGGCTCGGTGGGCCCATGAGACCTCAGGTCATCAAGGGAGAGACGCAACATATAAGTGGGCCAGAGACCGAGGGGTGGACTTAACTATCGATGCCATTGCACAGGTTATTCATAACTGTGAAACGTGTGCCACAATTAAACAAGCCAAGAGGATGAAAGCTCTCTGGGAGGAAGGGCGATGGCAAAAGCACAAATATGGGGAGGCATGGCAGGTTGATTATATCACCTTGCCACTATCTCGCAATGGTAAGCATAATGTGCTCACCATGGTGGAGGCAACAACCGGGTGGCTCGAAACATATGCAGTACCCCATGCTACCGCCCGAAACACCATACTGGGTCTCGAGAAACAAGTCCTGTGGCGACATGGCACCCCGGAAAGGATTGAGTCAGATAATGGGACTCATTTCAAAAATTCTCTTGTAAATACTTGGGCAGAGAACATGGCATTGAGTGGATTTATCATATTCCCTATCATGCACCAGCCTCTGGTTAGATCGAACGCTACAACGGATTGTTAAAAACCACGTTGAAAGCACTGGGTGGCGGAATATTTAAACACTGGGAGAAGCATTTGGCAGAAGCCACCTGGCTGATTAACGCCAGAGGATCAATCAGTCGAGATGGTCCCACCCAATCCAGCCCCCTACATATTGTAGAGGGAGATAAGGTCCCTGTAGTACATGTAAAGAACACGTTAGGAAAAGCAGTTTGGGTTTTTCCTGCTTCTGGGAAGGGCAAACCTCTTCGCGGAACTGTCTTTGCCCAGGGACCTGGGTCCACCTGGTGGGTGATGCAGAAAAACGGGGATGTTCAGTGTGTACCACAAGGGAATTTGATGTTGGGGGAGTGCAGTCTGTAATCCCATGTGTTAAGCATGATGTAGTGATGTAGAATAAGGGGTGGAATGTCATGGTTTTATGATTTTTGGTCATCAGTATTCCACACCATAACATCGCGTAATGCACTGGGGGTGGGGTTTGATATCTGCCGAATGTTCGTCCGTCAGAGAAGAACTACATTTCCCCAGGAGGCTTTGCGGTCAGCAAGGAGATATAACTCCATGCAAGGTCACCTGATGCTTCTTCTTCGCCTGCTCTTCGCTGTCTGCGCTTCGCTATCTGCGCTTCGCCATCTGCACTTCGCCGTCTGTACTTCAGTCACTCAACTGGACTGCACTTCTCACCCCAGCATTGTGGTGAGGTCTATACAATTCAAACAGACTCTCTCTCTCTCTCTCTCATTGTATTTTACTAATACTATATTTAGTAAAATCATTTGTTCCACCTCAGATCAGTGCTGTTGTTTTCAAGTATTTTGTGGTCCCCTGCTTCCCCTTTCCCAGAGGCTCGGGTCTGCAGATTCCTCCGCCCTGCTGGTCAAGGAACTGGGCCGGACCAGCCCATAAACCGTTGACATTGCTACATCAGACTCAGCACTCACTGCATTTAGGATATTTGCCTGAAGTGCTGAACCCCCCACCCCCTGGACAGACATTGTCCAAGGGTCGACGGAATCCTTCCAGGATTTCGCAGATAGATTAATAAAGGCAGTAGAGGCATCAGACCTGCCGAGAGCAGTCCACACTCCAGTGATCTTAGATTGTTTACAACAAAGATGCCTCAGTGACATAAGGACACTGCTGCGCGCTGCCCCTGAAAAGTTTCAAACCCCAGGGGAAGCTATTAAATATGTTATGGACAAACAACGGACTACCCCAGTAACTAACGAGGGGTTAGCCTCGGTTGTTGTTAATGCAATGACAGCAATGGATCAGCGTCGATCTGCTGGCCCTTGCTATCGGTGCAGGCAATATGGCCATATAAGAGCTCAGTGCAGAAATTCAGATGAAGATGATCTAAACGAAAGAGAGGTTGTGTGTCAATTATGCGATAGAAGAGGACACACTGCTCGGCAGTGTAGGAACCGTAGGGTACAGCCACAGGGAAATGATTTGGGGAGGGTGCCTCAGGCCTAGGGCCCCTCCCAGGCTTGTCAGGATGGGCCGACGGCACCAATGATGCAAACGCCTCCGCCTCTGGCCAGCCCATCAGTTGGGCAGACTCCACCCTGACTGCCCAACCCTCCGGTCCTGCCAGCGCCGCCTCTCAAATTTCTCACCCGCCCATCGTGGGATTGACACTGGATTGTCAAGACCGCCCTCTCATTAGGGCTTTACTCTCCTATGCTGGAAACCTTGCACCTGATTTTGCAGGCCCAAGGTCTATTCAAATTACAGCCCTAGTCGACTCAGGAGCTGATGTTACTATAATATCAAATAAAGATTGGACCATTAGCTGGCCGTTAGGATCGACCCAAGTGATTAAAGGAATAGGGGTGTAAGAGACTATTCTGTTAACTTCTGTGTCTCAAAGCTTGCTGGGGGCACAGATGGACTTGTTCAAGTCCAGACAAGTCCCGAGCAAGGACCGTGAAAACCTTTGTCTGGGGGAACGCAGATGGACAAGGCCAGGGGCAACGAGAGCGAGATGAACTGCAGCTAAATAGCTGTGAAGTGCTCCTTTGTGTGGACCTATCTCCGGATGATGGCCATCTCAGGGGGTACTCAATGACTCTTGCTCAAGGCCCATCCTTGTCACGTAGGCAGGAGAATAAGGAGGATAAAAGAGGAACTGAAAACCATGAGGATAGGTTTCTGACAACAGATTCCTCATGAAGAAGAACAGGGGTTTCTGACAGCAGATTCCTCATGAAGAAGAACAGAGGTTTCTGACAACAGATTGCTCATGAAGAAGAACAGGGGTTTCTGACAGCAGATTCCTCATGAAGAAGAGAGAGAGGAATTCCTGAAGATAGAAGGATTCCTGAAGATTGAGGGGATTCCTGCATACTGTTGAACTCTCCTGAGCCTGCTGCCTGACCGCTGTTCCTGCTTCAAGAATTGGCTCCTCGACTTCCTCGTCTACCTGCCTGCTGCCCAGGGCCGGCCACGCTGCTGCTCCCCGTCTTCTGCTGCGTTCTGCCCGGGACCTTCAAACACCGTGCAACGGGACCGCTGCTGGATCCTGCTGGTGACTATCCCCGCTTTACGCAACTCCTGCTTCTTTTCCATCTTTTCTGTCGCCCTCCTTCCCTTCCCCGTCTCCCTGATTAGGTCTTAGTAATAAACTGGATGCAACAACATATGAACCGTTGTTTCTTAATCTCACACCGGGTATACAGATATTAAAGAACCTCATCTCCCTCCTATAAATTGGAGCGAGACAAGGGGGAGCCATACCAACAGGAAAGTCAGGAGGAGAAATAGAGGTCATAGCAGCCAATCAGGATGGTTCATTAGAAAAACCTGTCTTGCTCATCCCGCTTATAGCTGATGTCCCGGGAACACTCTTGGCAAAGACTTCTTGACAAAATTGGGAGTACGTATTACAAATTTATGTAAGGGCCACTGTCTACCAGTTATCTGTTGCTTATGCTATTCCCTTGCGCTGGAAACAGGATGTTCATCCCGTTTGGGTGGATCAGTGGCCCGTTTCAGTTAAAAAGCTTACAGCACTTAGACAACTAGTTACTAGAGAACTCCAGTTAGGACACATTGAACCCTCACTTAGCCAGTGGAATACTCCGATTTTTGTCATTAAGAAACGTTCAGGCGCCTTTCGCCTGTTGCATGACCTGAGTGTCGTTAATGCTCAGCTCGTCCCTTTTGGCTCAGTTCAACAAGGAGGTCCTATCTTGTCAGCTATCCCACGAGGGTGGCCAATGGTAGTTATTGATTTAAAAGACTGTTTCTTCTCTATTCCTCTAGCAGAACAAGATAGAGAGGCATTTGCTTTTACAATCCCAATGATTAACAATGAGGGGCTGGCAGAGAGGTTTCAATGGTGTGTCCTCCCCCAGGGAATGATGTGTTCCCCCACAATTTGCCAATTGGTGGTGGGAAGGATCCTGGAGGCAGTTAGAAGGGATTTCCCTCAGTATACAATTGCACATTATATGGATGATCTTTTGCTTGCAGACCCTTGTTATTTAGGCTTGTATATGTTAGAAGATTGAGTGACAGAAGCCTTGACTGCGGCCGGTTTTGTTATCTCCGAGCAAAAGACTCAGAGAGGACCAGGAGTTGAATATCTCGGGTATAAGTTTGGCCCGGAGATGGTACGACCGGTCGGCCTTGATATTCAGCCCCATGTTACCACCCTGTGGGATGTGCAGAAGTTAGTAGGGGCAATCCAGTGGATTCGAGGAGTTTTGGGAATCCCACCTCGGCTTATGAAACCCTTTCATGATCAGCTGAAGGGATCAGATCCGAGGGAGCCTCGGAAACTTACTCCAGAGATGACCGTCGCATAGCATGAGATCCTACAGAATTGTATGAGAGCATTTTTAACGAGATGGGACCCTGATCGGGCTCTCGAGGTAGCAGTAACGAGATGTGAGGTGGGTGCGACTGCGGTGATAGGTCATTCCCTTGATGCTAAGCCCCGACCTCTATGGTGGCTGTTTTCCGTACAGCCCACACGAGCCTATACTTCCTGGCTTGAGATTCTAGCAATGTTGCTTAAGAAATCTCAATTGCTATCACTGCGAGCCTTTGCAAGAGAACCTGATGCAATATATCTACAGAGCTCATTTCGTGATATGCAACCACTTCCAGATATCCTTCTTACAGCTCTACAGGGATATGGAGGTGCAATTGAATATACTGACTCTCTGCCTATCTTTGAGCTAGCAAAACCCCTCCATGTTTCCCTCCGATGCCGGGTTCAAACCTCCCCTCTCGAAGGGCCTACCTTGTTCACAGATGCCTCCTCATCTACCAGACAAGGGGCTGTAGTATGGCAAAACTCAGACAATAAGTGGAGCTCAGCTATCTTTTGTGACTATCTGTATCTATCTGGATGACGTGCAGTGTGATATGGTTTAGTGCTAGTGGTGGCAATGGTGATGAGGAGACGGTTGGACTGGATTATCTTATAGATCGTTTCCAACCTTGTGATTCTATGATTCTATAATTCTATGAACGACCTTGGATTCCTGCACTTGAGCCGTTTTGCAAGATAAAAGTGCCGACAGTTTAGTGCAGTCTTCTTCTACTTGTTTATGCGAAGCTAGAGCCGAGGGGGGAGTGGAGGGAGGTGCCGAAGGTGCGGACGAGATGTTAGTCGCCATAGTTAAGGGCATATTTGCGGTGCTCTCTTCCTCATGGGACCTGCAAGAAAGTACGCTCCCCGCGCCACTTCTGTCAGTTTTAGCAAATTCCAACCCCATCATAACACACACAGCTTCAGGAATTCTACCCTCCTCCCTCGCTGCTTTCAGAGAGCCAAGGATCAGCTCCCAAACTTCAAGCTCCACAACTTTCTTCTCCTCTATCGCACACTGCGCAAGTGTGGACGTAAATGAATCCAATCAAGTGGGGTCAAAAATGCCCTGAGGGGAGGGAAGATTCCACTCCTCTTCCAGGCGAGTAAGTACAGTGGCAATGTCCTTCTCAGGAGTATCATTGCCGAAACAGTCCTTACAAAATTGAAGGATTATCTTAATAGCTTGCTCCATCACCAGCACAGAGCTGATGTCCCGATTCGAGAACGACCTGCCATTATCCACAGGCTATCACCACCCCCGAACTTCCACAGCAGCCAGCTGCTGCAGGCATGCCCTTAGGTGAATGTACCACAACCACCCCGGTCTTCCATGGCCAGCCTGTAACTACCTCCTCACAGCACTGGCAATTCTTCAGGCTCGCTGGAGACGTTAAATGCAAGTTGACTTCTCATGCAAGGGGGATACTCAAAAGCGGGTTCCTCACTGGTTCCTCACACGTGTAGGCTCTTCTCCCACGTGTAGGTTCCTCACACGGGGCACCATCTGTTGCATTGCCTCCTACGCTACTAACCCAAACAAGGTCACAACCAAATAACTGCACGTTCACACCAATATGATGAACAGCAAAATGGCGTTTATTACACGTGAACTCAAGCTTATATACCTTATGTGCTTCGTCTACGCCCCTAAGGACACGTGCCACACATCAATCATAGATCAGGGAGAGGGCCTATCGCATCACATCCCGTGGGGGGGTCCTGCAGTTGCCTCTTTTCGTCTCTTTTCTTTTCTTTTCGTCTCTTTTCTTTTCGTCTCTTTTCGTCTCTTTTCGTCTCTTTTCTTTTCTTTCCGTCTCTTTTCGTCTCTTTTCTTTTCGTCTCCTTTCTTTTCGTCTCTTTTCTTTTCTTTTCGTCTCTTTTCGTCTCTTT